TGATGCTACCGGTTGACCCCTTGCCGGAATCGCCCACCTGCTGTAGCAGGTATCTCACCTGCTGGTGGGTGCAGCTCCCGCATGTTCCCTCGTTGGAGGCTTGAGCACGGATGTGGCTGCTACGGGGTTGCCCGTAAAACTATAATAACAATAAAAGAGGCCTGAAAGACCGTCCTGTCCATATTCGACAGATCTTTAAATTGGTTGGGCGACGTTGTGTCTTCGCCACGCAGCCTTTCGAAAGAAGTTATTTCGAAAAGGTTTCGAAAGGTGGCAGATTGGCTGGCGTCAAAAGTCGTTTCGAAGAGATGAAATCCTCCTGTCTGTCACGAGCGCTTCCTCGGAAGACCTCGAGTGGGCTCGTGAAAAGGCCCACTCGAAATGGTTGATTGGCAAAAAGAACAGGAAAAAAAATGGGGGATTACAAGGGTCTGGCTCCACTACTCTGGACATGCACAAAAGACAAATTATGTTCTGGCCAAAGATTCACACTCTCGTTTTACACACGTCGAGAACAGTGGAGCCGGGTCGTAATGTGCATATAGAAAGACCTCAGTGTTTCGAAAGTCTGTGCGGCGAAGGGGGGAATTCCTTTCAACGAGCCGCCTTTCGAAAAAGTATGACACCTTTCGTCGCTTTCGGAATTTAAACGCCTTCATTCCAAAGGTTGTGTTGCGAACCTAATAGTCCTTCGGGATATATTAGCAAAATTGTCAAAAAAAAAAAGAGAAAAAAAAAAGAACTGAATTGAAAGTCTTCTTCATCTAGGTTACTGTTTTGCTCTTGCAAGGTAAGCTATGGTTTCAAAAGGTTGGAGGTTATGTGGGGACAACTAACTGCCATTTCGTCAAAATGGACATCTTTTATTATTTGAACGAAATTGAAACCGAGTTTTTTGGCCGAAAACTCGTCAAAATTTGTTGTTCCTGAGGGTCCGGCATTTGTAAAACGCTTGACCCTCTGGTTGTACATGGACCTAACTTGAGACCAAGTACCTCCAGGCAGTCCTGCCTGGAGATTCCTGGTCTCAAGCTAGGTCCATGTAYAGCCAGGAGGTCCASYGTTGTAAAATGCTRGACCCTTAGGAACAACAAATTTTGACGAGTTTYCGGCCAAAAAAATCAGTTTCAATTTCGTTCAAAAAATAGAAAATGTCAATTTTGACGAAATGGTCGTTAGCTCTTCTCCACAGAGGCAGCACAAGGAGGGAGGTGCTCGCCTTGTAGGGGTAAGGTCAGATGAGGGGGACTGCACTAGTCTGGGGCTGGGAAGAACGATAGGGTCACATCATCTCCCGGCGGTGGCAGATTGGGCAGGCATTGGCTTGAGGTATACCTGTAGGGGGAGGTGGTTCCCTCGAGGGATTAATGGCAGTGGGGGGGTTCTGTCTTGTTGAGGCTGATTGGTATTGCCTGTTATGAGGTGATTCAAATCAGCGATGGCAGTAAGAAGGGACGAGGCGAGAAAGTAGGGGGAAAAAAGGAGGAGGAAAGAGGAAGACAAAGCAACATTAATCATCATCATTTATGTTCAGCATTGGTCACTTTCCATCACCATGATGGTTATCTGCTTAGGGTTCTTTCATAATCGGATCCCCATTTCCTAGGTGTTCTTATTGAATTAGCTTATTTTCAATCTAATCAGTGTTAGTATAATTGCCTACGTCGGGTGGACTCCAGATCGACACTGGTCGGTGCAGGGGCATTGCTTTGTAACCTGTTTTTAGAAGTTTGAGACATGTAGGAGAGTGAGGACTGTTGAGGGAGGAAAGCAGGCTGATAACTTGACCAATGTGTTACATGCCCAGTTGGGCGATGTAGATATATAGCCAAGGATCCACAATGTGATGAAAAGGACTAAATGGACAATGCAATGCCAGTGGAATCTCAACAAGCAGTGTACATCCTCATACATACAAAAATGGCACTTCGTAGCGCAGTGGAAGACTTGGATATAAGCCCTGACCTGACCAGGACTGACCTCTCTCACGTAGTACCACACAGCGTAGCGGAATACTAGAATACCAAGAACTAGCCCAATCAATGTCCCAATCCAGACCAAACATACATCATCCTCATCATAAGGTGTGCAGGGGCCTGGCGCTACACACAGGAAGAATGCGCCAGGTCCATGCCATACACAGATAAAGAGGAGGGGATCAGATGAAGAAGAGGGGGGAGATGGGAATGGTCTTTGGTACAAGTCCCAGATAATCCCTCGTCAAATGTCTGAAGCCCAATGTCGAGTCTGGATCCAAATGTCACCAATCCCTCTCTCCCGTAGTCTGCTGATGCAGTGAAGTCAGGTAGCGAGAGGGTTAGGGGGAGATGGTGGACTGAGAAGAGGAAGAAG